CCTTACTCACTAATTTCTACGATGCCGAGTCTTCTTTCTCACTATCTGTCAACATGTCAGCAGTTCGAGATCGCGATCATTCATTACCTGTCCCACCGTGGGCAGTATACAACAAATTCAATCGAAATCTTGTCAAATATACACATTTGTCTACTAGATTATCTCGAAAATCTACTGGGTCTCAAGAAATCCAAGCCATCTGGAACGATTTACCTAAAACAATTCACCCCGAGATCACCACCCGACCCGAACTATACCTTGTCGAATGTCAACCTCTTCCAGGTCTTCCTGATCCTTCTGGGCAGAGTGCCGCTGGGGTTGACGGTCTTCTCATCGATGTACACGGTGAATTCGAGGAGAATATTCCCAATTTTGAGGGCAAAGCTCTCCGTAGCTTTTCGCGGTACTTCATACTCGGACCCGGAGGGCCTAATGGACCCCCTATTAGGGTTCTTAGCGATATGCTTGCGCTTAGGGCTTGGAGTCCTTTAGCTCAGACAACTGCAGTTCAAGGACCTCAGCCGGTTCCGGTACTTTCAAATGTTCCACAAGTCCCCATAGCCGATGCTTCACTCACGCCCGAGCAACAACAAAAAATATGCGCTGAAAAACTTTCTGCCGAGACAGGCATGAATTTACATTATTCAGCCATGTGCTTAGCAGAGACAGGATGGAATTTAGAACAGGCCTACATTGCTTTTCAAGCCAATAAGGCAAACTTACCAGCGGAGGCTTATCAAAAGCCATAGGTTGAAGGAAGGAAGGAGGAGGGAGGGAGCAAGGGACGTAGGAGAGAGTTCATCAGCGCTGGCTTTTTTTTTTTTTGTGTGGATTAAGATAATAAGAAAGAAATGGGTGGCGAGCATTTTACATGAAATGGAGGTTAAGGCAGCATCATATGGAGTTCTTTCATTTTTGATTTTTCGGGTCTCATCAGAATTGCACCAAGCAAATCTTAGCGCAAATGGAGTTTTGGGAATACATATACATACAGTTGTAAAAACGTATGTTTAGCGGAATTAAAGGGAGGAATGCACTTGAATCATTACACGCAAATCAAAATTTGGACGATGTGCTTTGTGCTTTGTGTGCTCAGCGTTTTTGGGATGGATAGGAGGTATTTGTAGATAGATTGCATGGATGAGAGGATGGATGGATTACTTTTATGATAATTGGTACTGTGCTGTACTATAGATACCAGGTATTCTACAGCGGATTGATTATACGGGATTTTGATTCTGGATTCGTGGATGAATACTTGCTTGCGTGGTGACTTGTTTTTATCTGTGATTTTGTATGGTTGTATGGTTATGTATGGGTATGTAACTCGTGTGACGGTAATAGTGATATATATCTATCACTCACTCACTCACTCACTTACTTGCTTACTTGCTTACTATCTTACTTGTAGTAAATATCTAGAGAAAACAGGAGATCCACGGATATGACTATAAAAATAAAGACAGTACTGCAGATACCTCCTCGCTAATTTCACCGAAGACTTTGTTCCCGGTATAGGAATGGAATGTGATGGAAAAGGGGAATGGATGAGCGGGGAGAAAGGAGAGGGGAGGAAATGACCTGTGGACTTATGTATAGATGCTTTATTACATTATATTATATTATATTAAAATACATTACGTTATATCATACCTAGCCCTGAGTTGAAAAAACATTCAATCGTGATATCTTTGAACTTTGAGGAGGGTTTGTGATTTCAGAGGAGAGTAGAATAGTATCTCTAACTACCTAGGTAGACATGCAGGTTTTCTGTGAATTCTTGTAATTCAAATCATGCACCAATTACAATTTATCTCCTTGGATTTCTAGCAATAGATAAGAAGTCGTTGGTTACAAGTATGAGGAACAAGATTCTAGCATGATCGCATTCATTTCCACGAGGACGATGTCAAAAATCACAAATCAAATATCAAACAACCAATTATCCAATTTTATATCATTATATCATTCGTATTGCTACATAATCTATCACTCTCTTCTAATTCTTTATACTCCAACCCTTCGATCCATCTACTACTATGTATTCCCACCCGCCTGTCTCAACGGATGCGCCTCAGTATTCAACACCCACTCATCCAAACTCACTACATCCGGTTCACTAAACAACAAGTAAAAATACTTCAACGTCTCTGCCAACCAAAAACTTTCCATAGAATCTTCCTTGTCTGGTTTTTGGTCCATGACATTCTTGATTCTCGCATTGGCGAGAGGTGTATGCGTATGTTTCACAATGGCTTTGAACATTTTCCAGCCCGTTTCTTGCCAGGCGCGATCACCCGTTAATCTGTACATGATGAAGATGGATTCGATGGCTTCGGGACGGAGTTGATAGGATGGATCGTCGACGCGGATATATCCGGTGTCTGAACTAGAGCCGGAGAAAGTACAGGAAGATGTATTGGTGCACGGGTTGACGTGGAAGATTTCAGGCATGATTCCCGAGGGGGTGTGTTCGTATGCCCAAACGCAACCTTTGGTGAGTTTGATGGCGGTTTCCATTTCTGATGGGGATTGGGATATTCGGGAGCCAAGACCTATCATACCTCCGGTGAAACAACCAAGATGTTGGATCTGAGCGGTCAGGAGTGGTTTGCCGGAATCAATGTTCACTGTGCCTGTGAAGAGAATATCCGGATCGCCTGGGAGATTGGGACGGAAGACTAGGTGTTTGTTTATGGTTGATAATGCAATACGATACATTTTCAGGTATTGATCAGCAGAGGAGGGTTTTGGAAGAAGTAAATGAGTCTTTGGAAGATATTCAAAAGCAGAATCTTTGATTTTATATGTTAGTGAAGGGATGGGACGTGAGAAACATCGATTGACCTACCAGCAAAAGCCCCCAAAGTAAAAGAACGACTCCCAAAAGACAACTCAGATCCCATGCAGTTTGCTTGAGATGGCCACATTCCTGGTAGTGTTGTAGAATTCTGAGTAGCTTCCAATTGATCCGTAATTTTCTGTATGGCATTTGCGTATTTTTGATCACCAGTGACTTGACTCAAACGAATGAATTCGAGTGACAGACTTGCGATTTGGGCGACTAGAACGCCATTTTCGCCCGCTATCTTGTCTCCTTTGGGAAGTTCCTTCTCCCACCAATAATATGGAGTTGGAATACCATTCTCAGTATTAAATGCCCTGAATAATAAATCTCCAAGCTGTCTCGCTTTCTCAAGTAAAATAGGATATTGATGACCACTAATATCCCAAGCTCCTAGTAATCCACCGAGATACCGAATAGTAGTTTCGAAAACAGGTACACGTTCAGCATTGGGTTTAGAAAAGTCGATGTTCTTAAGAGATTTCAAGGCTTCCTCAAATTCCTCCTTCAATCCCATTATATAAAGTGTATCCAAGGAATCCACCAACGTCGCAGCCCAGCCCACAAATGTATCTTTTTGACCACCTGAAAGTGGCATCACCTCATCATGCATCCATGCATTCGTTTCATATCCATTCCATGCATGTAGAAATTCCTCTCTGACTTTCTTTTGCCTCGTTAATCGTACTGCTTTGGCAGGTCTGGATTCTCTTGGAAACGTGGTTGCTTGTATGCTATATCGACCAGTAGGAGGTAGTGATAGATCTTTTGAAGGATGAAAAGAGAAGAATCTATATCGACTGTTGAGTGAGAAGCGGTTGGTTGTGGAGAAGATGTAGACGCATATCAAGAGTACAACTGTAATGGGTACGAAACGTTTTTGAAATCTTGTTCGTTGTGATCCTGGATACGATCGTGGGGCTAGGAGAGCTTTCTCCTTATATTCGAGAATCATTCTTGGAATTGCTTGTAAATGTTTCTTCTTGTGACTCTAGGCCAATGTGGATTCTCTAGATTTCATCAATTGAGGGAGATATCTCAAGATTGTGGATAGGACAGGCAAGAAGAAAAAGGAATAAAGAAGAGGGTATCAAGGTGAAGTGAGAATAAGTGAATTAATCACTATTTGGGTAGATGGAAGTGAATAGAAAATACTTATGGTTGTTTGAAAGCCCTATATACCTAACCACAAACACTCTCCTCCAGCTGTCAACGTTTGACATAGTCGGGGTGCTTGTTCATCTTTTCGAAACTCTTGGGAGGAAGGGGCCATGGTTAGTCGTTGCATCTCTCTTCATGAATATCATCATAGAGTATGAGATATCATTGGGTGATGAGTTGTACATGCCCATAATATATGGAAAGTCAATTGCTTCTCGATTCCAAAATGTTTCGGAAGCAAAACTTGAGCGAGGACCTCCAAATCGAGAGTTAAGCTTCGTTGGGTTAGACGGATCTATAGATCTGCGGGTGTACCTATTCCTTGGGTCTATTTTCAATCCTACTAACCCACAAATTGACGACCCAAGCCACCTACCTTGAAGTATGAATCAACCATAAATAGATTGATTGATTGGATCTTCATATTTCATTTCTTTCTCGAGGAAGATCCAATGATGATGACATTGTTGATTGTTCTACGATATCCAAGTAACAATAAGAATCATGGATGGTGGATGGTGGAAGATCAACATGAATTCTGGAAACTGCGACAGGAATCTTCGGCTTTCCGTGTTCAGCTTGGCTGTGTCTGTTTGACTCAAAATAGCACGGACAAGAGCATACTACCATGCCCGACAGAGGTATCTTCAACGGATACATGGACACAAGTCCTGCTTGTCTTGATTTATTGATTGTGAAGTTGAGTTTCTGGAATCGAAAGCCGAGTGGTACGATCAGTCCCGACGTTGAACACCTATATAAATACAAATCGAGAATGACTCAACCCCGTTTGTTGATTCAATGCCATGAAGTTATGGCATTTGCTTAATCTCACACAACATATGTAAGGAAGTTGGAGAGTTGGAGGTTTTCAAAGGCAGCATAATTATGGTCTAGAGTCCCTCACCGACTTCCTGTCTTCAAATATGAAATTAAAATGGGCCTGAATATCATTCTGATCATGCAGTCGTTTGTGTGATACAGCCACCCGCGGTTACACAACGACGCCTACTTTGACTCCATTCTCACTACTTGCAACTCCGGTCGTTAGTTCCACCCACTCCCTGACCTCGTCCTTACAGTTCATTCCTCTCCATTCTTGTGCCATCCTCGCTAATACACACGCCGTTTCTGTCAAAGCTAAATTCTGACCTGGGCACATCCTCGGTCCTCCTATAAATGGAAGATAATTCCACCCTAGTCGCACCGTCTCCCATCTCTTTAGTCGGAAGATATTTAGGTCAGGTTGGAAGCAAGGTGCCAGCATGTGAAGGGCGTGGAAAGAAGCAAAAACTATCTGACCCTTTCTCACGAAGATAGGTGAGGTGCCTTCCGGACCGCATCCAGTGGGCAGTATGGTGTCTTGCAAAGCAATTCTTGTACCGGTGGGAACAACGGGATGTAGACGTAATGCTAGTAGCATGGGTTTAGTGGTGGTTCAAGTAAGCAAGTGGTTACGATAACTTACTTTCCTTGATGACATACTGCAGATAGTGAAGATTCTTCAGCGGCTCAAATGTGAATGGCTTATCACCCTCTGAAAGAATTTCAGACCGGAATTTCTTCCACATCTCGGGGTTACGACAAAGATTGAAAATCGCGTTACCAATCGTAATAGCGGAAGATTCATGACCTGCTAAGAAGACATGAAGTATTTGGTTTCAAAGATCATCACGACTACCTATCTATTTTACCATCTCATGCAACAATATATGACGATGATTACCGTTGTCGTCATTTCTTCTGAATTCGAATCCTCTATCTTTTCTTTTTCTTTTTTTCTTCTTTTTCTTCCCGGGCAGCCAAATAGTTGCGCCGAAACTCCATGGCTTTTTCTACATATCGATCTGCAAATGAATGGGCGATCTTTGTTGGTTTATACTATTTTTTATTCCAATACAGGAACCTCAAACTTCCTAGTTGGGGCCGGATTATCATGCCTCTGATAGCATAGTCAAAAGTTGCGAGGCACTCCTCTGTTTGGAATGGAGTATCTGGAGATAGTGTATTCATGGACTCTCCGAAAAGAAACTCTGTGGATGTGTCGAAAATCTTGGTACATGTCAACACTCAGATTGCAGTCAATCGGTGTAGCTTTAAGAAAAAGACTAGTCATACCAGTTTATTTAAAGGTGGTTTCAGATTAACCTTGGTTCCATCTGTTGGGACCAACGCAAGAAATTTTTGAAAGTGACTTTCGAAAGCTGGAAGATTGGCAACATTTGACTTGGTAAATGTAGGTCGAATCAAAGCTCTGGAGTGTTCCCAAAACGAACAATCCGTAGTAAACACCCCCTCACCAAGAAACGGCAAAGTAGGAGGTTGACGCAATGGCTGAATACCATAATGAGTAAAGTTCAGAGCATGAACTGTTTGCAGATTCCTTGGATCGACAGTACAGATAGAATGCGTTGTCTGAACTTTCGCTGAGAAAGTATTCCCGTAAGTTTGGAAGCGATTTACCCAAGTATTGAGTAAATTCGACTTGATCATTTGACGGAAATTATCGATGAAAAGATCAAGCCCTAGAATCGGATCTTTGTTAGGATATTTAGGAGGGGATTGACAACCATGTTTCCTGGATTCCTGTCCCATATGCCATTTCGATACAAGTTTTTCAATAATATAGTAGGAAAATAATATAGCAATGATAGTGCCACCAATTCCATTTCTGTATTCCATCCTCGCGCTACAATGAAGTGGTTCGAAACGTGGAATTTGTGTTTCTTTTTGAAGAGGCAGGATGAATAGAAGCCACGAAAGCTCATATAAGCATTACATAGGTAATTCCTATGAGCTGGTAGTCCGAGGTATGAACGCCTCGATGATGCATGAGAGAGATATTCATATTTCTCGGGAGTAACATCGCGCCACGAAGTACATGCAGAGGTAGAGAGGAGGAGATGATAACGAATCTTTGACCTGTTGGGCCGTAGCTAGTTGGTGTCGTCGATCAATTGTTTTGTTTGTTTGTTTGTTTGTTTGTGCATGGCTTCCAAGTTCCAACCTTTTTGACTCGATGCTGGAGTTTATGAGATATTGTGCCATGCACGGAGTTCTCGCATTGGTTATTGGGTAGTAGGGTGTGGGGCTTATTTATTCATCTCTTTCCTGTCTCAATCCTCTTCATTCACCTATCTTTTTGTTGGTTTGAGATATAGGGATTGTGATAGGGATGAAATGAAATTGAGATTGGGATTGTATTTTGTATATATAGATATATAACACTTGAACCTGGATTAGGATTAGGGTTGAGGATGGAGTTATAAAAATCATTGTGTGTGAATATAACAATACAGTAATTTAAAAAGCATTTACAACTTGACAACTTGACAACTTGACAACTTTACATCTTCACATCTTCACATCTTCACAGCTCCAAGATACAGATATACAGACAGCTATCCATCCATAACCTACAACCACTAAACTTCAAGACCTATGGAGTAAAAAAGAGTTACGTATCCCAATTTCTAACACACTATTTTCTGATACTCGAAAATAACAGAGCCCGAAGTAGCTAGGAGATTGAGCGGGCGATGATAGATAGGTGATTAGCTGATTTTCGTCCGCGAGATATATTGTTTGAATGGAAATGCTTTTCTTCTGCCATTTATTCTGATTATATAGCAGACATTGATCTGATCGTACTCGCTTGCTAATACATACCTAGGTACCTAAATATTGAATATATCATGCAAAAATGAGATATGATACAAATTTAAATATCTTCACAAGAAAACCAGACGAAAATGTGTTGATGCACCTCTCTTGATTCAGAACTATAAATAAGTTACTATCTGTTCCAGAAACTATAGATTAAAAAGTGGGTATAATTTACATCTCCATCTCCCTTTTATCAACCTCACCATCACGAATTTCCTCGCCCATCACTCATCACGCAACAAATACCCTCTCACTCCTCGCACTATTCGCATTCTTCCCATTTCCCCCTCCATCCTTATTCCCATTTCCATTCCCATTCCCTCCATTCTTCTTAGCAGCCGCAGTGGTTGTCGCCGCAGTTGCTGCCGATGCAATAGTACTCGTAGCAATAGCCGTTAAAGAAGAGCTGAGCAGTGCTTCGACGGCAAAGATTCCCTGTTCGTTAAGTGTTGCTTCGGAATTGGCTTTCATGGCGGCGGGAAGATCTTTGTTGTTTCTGTGGTAGGTGATGGTTAGTGAATTTGTTATGCGATGTATGTTTCCAAGTGATGGATATAGAAGAGTAATAGGACTATCGGAATCATAGAACTTACTGTAAGACCTGGGCTTCAACACCTTCTAATGTCTGCGCTGTGGCAATCGTACCGGGTGTGTTCTTGCTAGCTGTCTCATCTGTCTGCATTACTGCAAAGCAACCACCGAATGGACCAGCTGTTGCTGCGTTGAAACAGCGGATTGTACAGATATTTCCTGTTGAGGCTATTTTTGTGTTAGTTGCATTCAGAGTTTGAAGATCTCGAGTGGGTATATGAAGAGAGGGGGGGGATGAGAAGGGGATGAAATACATACCACCAATACAACTCATATTACTGGGCATAGTAACCGCCAATTTGATACTCCCGTCCTTTCCGTCCGTCTCCTTAACGGTCAACTTCGTCTGACCGGAGCCTAGTGCATTACTCGTCTGATCCATATCACATGTATACGGCCCTGCTCCATTCGTACCTCCTTGCTGCATGACCACATTAACTGTACTTCCTTTCGTAACCGATGTTACAGTTTTATTGGCTAATTGGGTCTCAGTGTTTTCACCAATATCGATGTTGCCGTTGAGAAGAGTGCGTCCACATTCGTTGACGACATTGGTGCTAATTTCGGTGGGGTTGATTATGTTGGCGTCGTTGGCGTTAAGTACGACTTGAAGGGGGAGAGATGCGGGAGAGCCTTTTGTCCCTTGGGCCGAGAGAAGAACGCCTTGGGCATGGACTGAGACGAGAAGGGAGGAAGTCAACAGGAGGAGTTGTTTGAGCGAAGGCATTTTGATTTGTTTGATAACCTTAGCAGAATATAAAGAGTATATAATTATGCACAGCACGGTGGCAGTATGAAGAATGGAAATAGAATAGATAAATCAGGATAGAATCAGACCTGCTGAGGATAAGATTATAAAGAACGAAGAAAGAAGATAGAGTAAATGAATAAAATCAACAGCAGTGAGAAACAGAATTCCTTCAAGCCCGTGGTATGAGGATCATTTTCATCTTATACATGGATGTAAAACTAAACATACATTTCCACCTACATAGCATTACGACGATTTTTCATACATGAGGCGATTTTTCAACATCTCAAACATAGGAGTCAGAGATCAGATGCGACGACCAGACATCAAAAATACCACTTGGAACAGATTCCGTCGCGAGGGTGTGGGGCGGAATCAGCAAAATAACCGAAAGTGGCCTCTCATGACTGAGGTGAGTGAAAGTGGAGCCGTGTCAGGGGTAATTCTAACCGCTTGGCATGTCCCATGGTGCGAGAAGTGGAGAAATCTTCTGCAAGATCAATGATATGAGACGAAGCAGAAATGTATGGATGATAAACAACTCGAAGAATGGACGATTGACAGGGCGATTTTTATACTCCAAAACCTGTTCTTGCCTTAAAAATGGTAGATCACGGGCAGACAAAAGGTGAATGAGGAGAGATACATAATACATGAGCGTGTACATCTGCAAAGCAATGTACGCGAGCGACAAATTGTGAGGATGGAAAACATATTCAATGGAGATAAAATGTTTTTATTCTCATCTGAGCTTTGAGATTGAGATGACAGTCTCTCCTTTCTCAACCATCCTTCGCTTCTTGTCTTGAGTATGCTGGAACGTCTTCTCCGGCTTTCCAGAAGTACTTTGATCCAGGATGTGACTCTGAAAGTCTGTTTTGACCTTTGGTACCCAAATAATTTTCTCTTAGTGTACCGCCAGGGACAGCGTAATCATCCCAAAATAATCCCCTCTTCTGTAATTCAGGAAGTAAATACTCTATCATATCGTCGAATGTCTCTGGAATGCTAGCATAACTGAAATTGAATCCGTCGACATCAGAGACGTCTACCCACCTTTCTAATTCGTCTGCAACTGTCTTTGCATTTCCGATAAGTTTCGCGCCATTTCCTCCCAGAATGAGATGTTCGGCAATGGTCTTTTTGTTCCAGGTTAAGCCTTGTGGGGAGACTGATGCCCAGTGATTTACCATACTCCTTACTGCAGGAGGAGCGCTTTCAATGAACCGAAAATCTTCGTCATCGCCATATGAGCTTAGATCATATCCAGACCAACCTCCGAATAACGATAGGGCTCCTTCCCGATCACCGTAACTTGCAAGCTTCTCAAATTTCTCCTGTGCCTTTTCATCGGTCTCAGCAACAATAACCAAAAGCCCAGCGACAATCTTGATACTAGCTGGATCTCTTCCTAACTCCTTAGCTTGCAAGCGAATCGAGTCTACCGACGGACGAATAAGCTCTGGGGTGTGTGCATTCAAGAAAATGGCTTCAGCATGGGTAGCAGCAAATTTCTTTCCCGCGGAGGATGTTCCAGCTTGGAATAGAAATGGGGTCCTTTGGGGAGAAGGTTCACACAAATGCGGGCCTGGCGCATTAAAGTATTTTCCCTTATGGTTAATCTGCCTTACACCCTTTGGATCCGCATATGAACTCGATCCTGGGGGTTGCACAGCATCATCCCTCCAAGACGCCTCCCAAAGCTTATATGTAACATCGAGGTATTCATGGGCAATCTTATATCGCTCATCGTGCTCGATTTGAGTGTCGAGGCCAAGATTTCGAGCTGCAGAGTCGAGATATGATGTAACTATGTTCCATGCAATTCGCCCATCACTAAGATGATCTACTGTCGAGAATCTGCGAGCAAGTAGATAAGGCTGTTCGTAGGTTGTTGAAGCAGTCACACCAAATCCAATACTTTTTGTAGCTGCAGCCTTTTTCCTCAGGTCAGTTATTGCTTTGTAGCGAGCCGTAGTTCTTCTAGGGAAGACTCACCATGGCAGGAATGCTATATAATGGATCATTTATCGGGAATTGAGATGCTGCAGGTATTGTCGGTTCAAGATTGGCAGGTCCTTTGTAAACATCATAACCTCCTAGAACATCTGCGAAGAATATGGCATGGAACTTGGCCTTTTCGAGTTTCTCGGCAAGTGCAATCCATGATTTGATATTCTTGTAATCGGAGCCTTGATCACCAGGATATTTGAAGAGACCTGGGTTGAGATGGCCAGGTGCTTGCATGGCAAACGCATTGAGAATGAGCTGCTTCTTGGTGGGAGACATATTGATTGTGCGAATTGAAGTTGTCGCATAGGAAAAACTGATTTGAACAGAGATAAAGAGTGCGCCCAACCTTACAGTTTATCATCCCAATGTGATGAGAGGGGGGATGTGCGAGCAGTAAAGGAAATCCAAACTTACAATCTATACTCTAAACCTTAGGTAATGGCATTATCTCAATCAGTTGCAGATAGCTGCCAGTGCCGGTAACATGCGCATGAAATGACGAGAATATAAGTTCCATCGTGCCATCATTCGCCGAAGGTTAAAATGCAGCGTGATGAAGGAGACTCTCGTTTGATTGAGTATTGATGGCGTCTTATTCCTTGCAAAAGCACAAATACGCTAACCCTGCACGTGCCTCGCCAATGAACCCACATCCATCTCCGCAGCTTGAAGCTCGACATCAGCTAATCAAGCCAGTACATACTAATTCTAGTGCTTTTCTCCTTCACATCTTTCCACTAGATACTATCGACGCATGGACTAGTACCGAAGAATGAAGTCGACAATCCCCCATGTAATCACATAATTGTCCAGATCTTGCCAATCCTACCAATCCTCTTTCCAATGCCGTTCCTTCCGAACTGTACCGCCAATTTCGGCATGTCGTGCATCAAATAGATACCCAGCTAACCAAAATCGTTACGATTGCAAACCCAACTTACCCCTCTGTGTCCAGAGTTGCATGTCTATTTGCGATGAACGGGAGAATAGACAGTACCCTAGTGATAAGGACCTCGAGTTGAGTCTCCTCAGTCCTAAAGCCAGGAGGAAATATGGGTCCGAAAGTTCACGTTGATACAGTTCGTGGATGCTGCAATCAAAGACCATAATATCGTGATTGGTAGTATCAATTTCTTTGTGGATTGGTTTTGTAATGTTTTTTACTGTTCCATCACTTCTGCTTTCCGCCTTGTTGTGATACTTTTCAATTGCCATTCTCGTTGTTTAAAAGTCCTACATAAAAGCCTAGTTATTTTGCTTCACTTACCCAGACATTCATCAAAAGTCAGCTTTTAAAAAACCATGTCACCTTCCGCGGTTGCTTCGAAAACACAGGGGATTGATGCTGCTTCAAACCCTAAAATCGTATCTTCATTTTCATCATTCGCGGAGGCACCAGCTTCAACGACCATCGATGTTGAGGCAAATGGTGATGGCTTGGCTCAGGTCAAATCTTCTTTACCATTCAGACCTACTCCTCAGCCCTCTTTCAAAATAGAAGACCACCCAGTCGATATTGTTAAACCCCTGAAGGTTTGTGACTATCTAAATTCTTGTTTCTTAACGGTGCACTAATCAATAATTGGATAGGTTGCAGTTATTGGTGCTGGTCTTGCTGGAATCAATGCTGGTATACTTTTACCTGCTAAGGTGCCTGGAATTCAACTTACAATTTTCGAAAAGAATGCCGATGTTGGTGGGACTTGGTTTGAAAATATCTATCCAGGTGTTCGTTGTGACATACCTGCAAACGTATATCAATCAACATTTGAGCCTAACACACAATGGTCCGAAGAATATGCACAAGGAAAGGAAATCAGAGAATATTGGCAGAAGGTTGCAAGAAAGCACAGTGTATACAATTACCTCAAATTTCATCGCAAGATTGCTGGGGCAGTCTGGGATGAAGAGAATGCACAATGGACATTGAGTATCGAGAATGTTGAGAACGGAGAAACAACGGAAGAACAATTCGAAGTAGTTGTTATGGCAATAGGTAGGTTCAATGCTTGGAAACTCCCGGACTACCCTGGTATCAGCGATTATAAGGGGCATCTTCGTCATTCTTCAAATTGGGACCCAAACTTTGATCCAACAGGTAAAACTGTCGCGGTCCTTGGAAATGGTGCTAGTGGCTTGCAGGTGGTTCCAAATCTTCAAAAAGTTGTGAAGCATTTGGACCATTATGCACGTAGCAAGACTTGGATTGCAGGATCTTTCGGTGGTGAAGGTGAACGTAGAACACTGGAACCAAATTATTTTTCTCCAGACCTCCTCAAATCATTCGAGGATCCAGAAACTTATCAAAAATTTCGAAAAGAGCTTGAGGGAAAGTTCTATGGTCGATTTGCCGCTCTATTCAAAGGGACAGAAGATAACAAGAAACTTGAAGAAGATTTCCGAAAGTTGATGGCAGAACGTTTAAAAAAGAAGCCAGAGTTATTGGATGCTATTGTTCCGGACTTCGCGCCAAACTGTCGTCGTTTGACGCCTGGACCTGGCTATCTAGAGGCTTTGACCGAGGAAAACGTCTCTTTTATTCAAACTCCTATCGACAGATTTACCGAGAAAGGTATTGTTACAATTGATGGTGTCGAAAGAAAGGTCGATGCAGTAATATGCTCCACAGGAGCAAACATCGATATGCGACCACCATTTCCAATTGTTGCATTTGGTCATAATCTACGCGATGCATGGGATCCTGACCCTCTTACATATCTTGGAGTCGCATCACCTTCTTTTCCTAACCTTCTCTTTGTCTCCGGACCCAATGCTCATGGGACAAGTGGCACAATTCCAAACCAAACCGAAACACAAATAACTTACTTGGCCAAAATCTTGCGAAAGGTTAGCCAGCAGAGTATCAAGACCTTCGTCCCATCCAAAGAGGCGACAAATGATTTCATCGCTTATAGTGATGCTTTCTTTCCCAGAACAGTATGGACAGATAATTGCAAATCTTG